GATCATACGCTCCCCGAGACCATATGAGAATGAAGAAGATGACGGCTCGCAATATCTGAACAATACCGGTGATGGAATGATGGTCGATGAAGACGAACGAATAGATGAAGTCCAAAACATGCATGACGAAGGAAATGTTGTTCTTCAAATAACAAAGACCAGTGAGGTATATTTATATAAGGCATCTGGTGATCATCACATGTTTTAATTGATTTGTATATATATTAACGAATCAATCTTTCTTCTTTTAGCCATCCGGATCGTGCAAATTGTCTACAAGCAGCAGGGCAGTTCAAGGCCCGGCCAAAAAGTTGAAGGATGATGTAAAGTACAACATCAATGCCATCAAACCTAATAGCGAACCTGATGAACCTAAGAAGAATGCAAAGATGTTCATTCGTCAATGCGGAGTTATTGTCAGGGACCAAATCCCGATCTCCGTTCAAGAATGGAAAAAGCCAGCAAAGGGCGATCTAGATGTTACTTTTGTCGACCAAAGAGCAAAAAAATCTTCTTTGGGAATCGCGCATGTCACATTTCACCCTACCAGATCATTTGACAGATGCAGATCTAGAGAAAGTCAAGAACACCGCCCTTAAGAAGATGACAATAGCATTCAACAACCACAAGAAAACTATATGGGAAGTGTATGTCAATGCAGGAAAGCAGACTCCAGAATTCAAAGGAACACTAGAGAAGGCAAGAGATCACTAGGAAGCTTTCGTGAAGTTCAAGGAATTGGAAGTAGCTCAGGAACGGTCGAGAAAAAACAAGATTAATGCCGCGAAAAAGCAGTGGCACCATAAGCTAGGGCCAGGTGGCTACGAGGTGGCCCGGCCTAAGTGGGATCTCGTTGAGCAAGAGATGATGGATGCAGGGGTCACTCCAGTTACATTGAGCTGGCCCTCAAGGTTCATGACTTGGTTCTATGCGCATGGGAGGGCGTTGGACCCGAAGGCATGCGAGGTTTTGGAGCGGGCAAGGAGCCGATGCAAATTTACTTGTTGCAATAGAAGATGCTCGAACGAGGGTGTTCACGCCCAACAGAGAGAACGATGAGCTTACCTATGCCATGAAGAATCCTGAACACCCGGGAAGAACACGAGGCGAAGGCGTTGTTCCATGGTTTGAGAGGTTTGCGGACTGGAACGCCGACTACAGAAGCCGTGCGAGAAAGAAGCAGCAGGAGGAGCAGAAGAGGAAGTTGGAGGAGGAGCAGAGGAAGCAGGAAGCAGACTACCTTCGCATCGTAGAATCAAAGCACGCGGAGTTGGAACTCGCTTCCAAGCGGCGGCGGCAGCAGATCGACTCACTTAGCCAGGAAAGGGGGTCTCAGTAGCGGCAGCAACTAGCGGATCCAGCATTGGATAGCACCATCCCATCCATGCCGATAAGCAGTGTGGGTTCCGCCCCGGGCGATGACGCACTGCTGGATAGATACACTGTGGATGATATCATAGCTACGACAACTTGTGAGCTACACTTTAAAATGAAGAACATATCCATAAAGGTGGCGGACGGCTATGATTATACAAATCCCCCTAAAGAAACCTTCCATTGTAATCCGATTCCAGCTGGCTATGCTTGTGTCGGGGTTGATGAATGGTGGCAGGATATTCGGGGTTAGAGCTTGACATTCCTGGAGGTGACGACGAGCACACACTGGGATACATCGTATCATTATATGGAAAAGGATTGTGTCGTCTTTCCAAGGCCACCGACACCGCGTCAGTCGGCTCCTCCTCCAAGTCCGCCGCCGCCTCAGCAGACTTCCGCTCCTCCAAGTCCGATGCCACCTTAGCAGACTCCCGCTCCTCCAAGTCCGCCATCGCGTCAGCCTACTCCTCCTCCTCCAAGTCCGGCACCGCATCAGGCGACTCCTCCTCCTCCAAGTCCGGGACAGCGTCAGCCGACTCCTCTTCCAAGTCAGCAACCACATCAGCCATCTCTGCCGCTGCCTCACGGGGCTCCGCCGCCTCAGCAACAATGGAAGAGAGGCGTCGCAGCTATGTCGGCTAGCGGTACAACAGGAGGCAAGAAATGCATATTTGGTCCAAGCCTCAAGCCTCTTCCGAGGTTGCCTTACAACCTGACTGATGAGGAAAACGAAGCCGAAGTGCGAGCCCAAGTGAAGACCCGTGTTGGACCGAAACCGCCCCGCCGCCAAAGGAGATCATAACTGAGCATGTCATACAACACTTTATTGATAATGCTCAACCAGCTGTCAAGCATAGGGACTCAGACTATGAGTGCTCTATCAAGAAGTCATATCAAGCACCAAAAAAGGAGTCGATCTCGAGCTGGAGCCAAGCAGCTAGAAAAAAATGCGGGAAAACTGTTCCCCAGCTGGGAGCATAGGCGGTGCAATCGATCCCCCCGCTACAAACACATGTGAGTACCGCCGATCAGCAGCTGGTAATAACCGACGATCATAGAAGGTAGGCCAAAGAGGCCGGTGTCACTGTAGAACAACTCCTAGGCATCGAGGACTTCGAAATGTTTACAGAGGAGCAACTAAAATGGAAATATGTCCGCGGCAAACCTATGGTCAAGCCTAAGCAGATCCTGCTTCTATCAACGAGAATGTATGAATTGCATCAATGGTACCTGAGAGAAGTAAAGACTACCGATCGAGAGTCCCTCATGGTGAACATCGAGGAAGAGTATTACTACCATAAAAAAGATTTGTGGGTTGAGTTTTAAGAAATGTTTCAGTTATTCAATCAAGACGTACTCGACAAATCTATCGTCAGTTGTTATTGTCTGTAAGTGATTTCTTTCTGTAATTTAAGTCTCTAGCTAGTTGTAGTACTCGTTCATTACCTGTAATTATCCTCACTATATATTCTTTTCTATGGTATTATGCAGAATGAAGATGTATGAAATGAAAAGAGCTGGACACTATGCATTGGGTTCATTGACCCAAATACCATTAATCAAGAGACATGGTCACGTGAATGGGATCAAAAAGACACAGAGAAAATCTTGCTAGAGTTCCTGGTGCGACTAAATACCCAACCAGAAATAGTACTTCTTTACAACTTCGGGTGAGTAACACTGTCTTGTACTACAAATTCTGTTTTTGCTTACTAGATGTTAATAAGTGTAGTTGATGAGTTATGCGCATGCGCACTTAATTATACAAACGTGTGCGCATGCAGTTTTCATAGGATCCTGCTAATCATTGAAGTTGACGAGGGAAAAATTCAAGTACTGGACTCACTACTTAACGAGGTTAATGACTACAAAATCGTGAAGGGGATGGTCGACACGTAATTTCAATCATTATCGAACTATATGTCGGCCTCTTTAGTTTATTTCCTGATATCAATTAATTAATAAATCCTTTATTCATTTTCTTTTCCCGCGGGCAGGGCTTGGCAAAAGTTCATCAAACATGTTAAAGGCCAATGGAAACAGTAGCTGAAATGGGCGTGACCCAAGATAATTAAGTACTACTAACTACGTCTGCGCATCTCTTTATTTCTAGTTTCAATGCCATTAGCATGCTTGATTAATTATTATCTGATTGAATTCTATCCTCGTAAAGGCCCTGAAGCAGGCACCGGGAACTAATTTATTTGCATACTATGTTTGCGAGAATATTCGCATGATGACGTCTGAAAGAAGCAGAAATGATAAACTCAATGGGTACGTTTGCCACAACACTGTTGTCAACTTTTATATCGTTATCTAATATATACACACACAACTAATACATACATATCGATCTCCTTTTTTAAAGATGAGAAGAGATGGGGTCATACATTTTGCAGACTATTGCCATTCCATGCGTCTTTCGACAAAACAATAACTTGGTCAGAACCAGGGACGCATATTGCATTCAATTTTTTATAGTGGCAATCTCACCATAAAAACGAACATTGTGCAGACTAGCGACGTGGAAGCCTGCTCTGATAGTAGGTCTCCCAAACTAGATTAAACCAAGAAATGATGTGAAACTTGTGAACCATTTTTTGAAACAGTCCATCATTGTGAGTTTCAAGATTTTAAATTCCTAGGCCCCTTTGAGTCTTGGTCCTACATATAAGATCCCATGCAGAAAGTGGTGGGTTCATCTTTTCCAAATCTTTACCTCTCCACAAACAGTACCTCATATAATTATCACATTACAAAATGTCCTATATGCAGTTCAGCAACACATCACAAAGGACTGCATTAACCACCAACATCCTGCCATTATTATAAGTTAAAAACTGGGGAATACGCTATGCGTTTGTGGCTTCTCTCAATAAGTGGCATAAAGAATTCCGTTCTATGTTTGAATAGGCAGAGGGTCAGTCCCAAATATGTGAATGGAAAAGAACCACTTGGCAGCTTAGGACTTGAGAAAGATTCTGCGAAATGTCAACTCACACATTTAATGGGCATCATGCTGGATTTTCGATGATTAACTATAAGGCGAGAGGAAGAAATTAATATGTCACAAGTTGCTTCAGATGAGTGAATTCCAGAGGGCTAACTTTTTCTATAGTCAGACTATCATCTGCATATTGAAGAAATGGAAACTCTGGGCATGCATGACATTATTCGGAATAGTTTGCAAGAAATCAGCTGTTGAGACAAAGAGCAAAAGGAATACTGGATCCTCTTGTCTTACTCGCCTCCCGCATTTAAACTGAGGACCAGACACCCCATCATGGAGAACACAAGATGTGGCTCAAGATAAGATCTGTTTGACCCAGCAACACCATTTAGAGCCAAATCCCTTCTGTTTCAAAATAATAAGAATCATTTTTCAATTTTAGCAAATTCTTTCTGAAAATCCAATTTGCTTTATTATTAGGTAAAGATTGGAAGATAAGTCCAAAATCACAACATCAATTTTGGCTTCTATTAAGGCCCTGCTCAAAGTACCACCACTCCACAACTCCACTCCCGGAGCTGCTCGAGTTTTACAGTTGAAAATCGTGGAGCACCTATTTCCTGGCTCTGTAGCTCCCGGAAGTTGGCGGAGCTGGTGGAATTCCAAACAGGGTCTAAAGGCCATCACCTTCAGTGTCTACGGGAGTAGTTATTGGCCGGTTTTGCTTGACCTTGAGCAGAGCAGCAGCACCCAAGCGCCATTCCTGCAGGCCCTTGTGCACGTTCTCGCTGTCATTGGCGAGGTCACGGAAGGTCTCCACGTCGTCCATCATGCTCACGACGCTGGACACCATGAGCTCCTTCTTCCACTCCTCGAGCGGTGCGATGTCACAATACTTCTCCCCGAACTCGAATATTGCGTGAGGTTCAATGCCACCGATGTTGTGCGTGAGCTTCCTTGGCACACCGGCGGCTTCCCTGGCGCAGAGGTTCTCCTCCACGCACCGCAGCATCTCCTCCTCCGGCGGCAGCTCGCGGCGGCCGGACAGCACCTGCGCGACCCACCGCGCCTGCACCTCCAAGAACCATGGGATCGGGATCTTCCTCGGCACGCCCACGAAGGAGAGCGTCGGCGCCAGGGACGGGGGGAACACGTGCTCGAACAACGGCCCGACGACATAGCCGTTGTCCCCCACGGTGACTGCGCCGCCCGTGTCTAGGAAAGGGAACGAGTAGGCGTACCCCGTGCAGTAGATGACCGTGTCGGCCACGACAGAGGAGCCGTCGGCGAACTCCACGCGCCCGTCCGCATGTAGCTGGCGTATCCGCGGGTGCAGGCGCAAGACGTCGCCGTGGTTGGCCAGCATCCTCAACATGGCCGGCGTGGCGACCTCGGAGCTGGCGGCGAGGTGCACCTCCCTGGCGACGTGGCAGAGGTCCAAAGCAATGTCTTTGCCACTGTCCCCGCCCCCTACCACCACCACGGCCTCGCCGCGGAACGGCTCCGGCGTCCTGTACGAGTGGCTGTGCAGCTGCCGGCGCCTCCATTCCCCCATGCCCTGGATGCCGCTCGGGAGCATCGGTTGCGCGTAGTGGCCGGTAGCCACCACCACGGCGTCGAACAACTCCTCGTCCTCCTCCGCATCATCATCATATTCATCCGTGCCGTGGAGACGCCGCACGGACCTCACCGCCCACCTATGTGTTGCCTTGGCCTTGGACGTCGACATGGCCGCGAGGGCGACACGCAGGACCCGGGTGTTGAGCCTGACGGCGTCCATGAGTCCGAACGCGTCACAGAAGTCCTGGAGGTAGCAGTGCATCTCGCGGTGGCCGGGGAAGCGGCGCGGGTCACGGCCGGCGCCTTGGCTGGGCAGGAACTGGAAGTCAGAGAAGCCGATGGCCTCCCGCGGGCTGATGAGGCGGAGGCACGAGTATATGCTGCTGGGCACGCGCACCGGCGCTACAGCGCCGAGCGGGTCCTCGACGTCGGTCCTGGGATCGTACAGCCACTGCCCGCCGACGTCGCTGCTCTGCTCCATGACCGTGACGGCGTGACCCTCCCGCCGCAGCTCGCGCGCCGCCGCTAGGCCGGCCATGCCGCCACCAACCACGCACACGCTCTTTGACTGTAGCACCGGCTCGCCGTCTCCAGCGGCCATGCCGGTGGATCGATGGTGGCTCTCGTTGACGCTTGGCTTAGCAAGGCTTGAGTAGATAACTACTCCATATAGTAGTAGTATATGCCACGATTGATGGATGCATGTGAACTGATGTTGGTTAGCTAAGAAGAAGTATAAAAAATTACATCGATCGTGGCACAAAAAATGGCATCGATGGAGGTATGCATGTGCAGTTTGGTAGTGTGAACTGATGTTAGTTTAGTCGTGTTGTGTCAAACGGGCTTAGTCCTGCTCTGCTTCGTCACAAAAATAAACAATTTAGTCTTGTTGGGTTTCGTCAAAAAAAAAATTTAAGTACTGATCTGCGTGGCACAAGCATGCATCCAGCGAAAGATGTAGAAAATTAGATCAATGGAAAGATGTGGCCCAAAAGAAAGGGTATGTGGACGCGGCGTATCTCGCGAGCACAAATGAACCCGGATGAACAATGAATTTACAGAAAATGGTAAAAAAAATCAGAAAATTATGTTTTCTTTTGTGGCAAACAACTTTGAATGTTTTGAATGCTTGCAAAGTTTCATGAAGGAATACCATTTGCGTAAGCCAAGGCAAAAAAACAAAATCGATGTTCCATAGAACCGATTTTCAAAAGCATTTTGGAGCACTGGTGTTTATTTATTTTTTGCCATGAATTCCGTCGATGACATTCCATGATGAAACTTACTTGCACTCGAAACATTAAACAATTTTTGCCACAAATAAAATTCAATTCCTTTTAATTAATTGTTCACGGCAGGTGGTATATGTGCTCGTGATATGTGTCTTTCTCTTGTCGCCGGAGTCAGTAGTTGTATTTCTTCATTGAATTTGCTCTTGCAACAATATAGACTACTGTAAATCCCTTTGATTTTATTTACTTTGATAAAATGACGAACCTTTCCTGGGACATTGATCTAGTGACACACCTTTCTTTTGATTTCATTACATGACACATCTTTGATGGATAGCTCGATGAAATGGCACAAATTGAGTTTTTTTTTCTCCTTTTCCATTTATGGGCTCGCACTTCATACTATTTTGGGACTATTTTCCCCTCACCTTGATTCACTTCTTGAATTTTCTGTGGTCGGTCAAAATGGCACACAGGAGGCCGAGCTCGACGCTAGGACACAATACACTGATCAATTTTCGTCCACTCAATGTTGCCAACTATCACATGAGCGTCGACGAGGCCATTAGTGTGGTTGGTGAGACTGAGCTTGTGGAAGGTGATGTTCAAGTGGGTTTGCCAGATCAGAATGTTTGCTTCCTTGAAGTTAAGGATAACATGGGCATGTGATATGATGTTGATGAGTTTGATGGAAGAGATAGTGGGGTGCATGACGGCGCTGGTGACAACATCAAAAGGATTGGTGCCGCCAGAGAGGGAGGAGGCACCAGAGTGAGACATGTTGGGGAGATAGAGAGGTTGCGGAAGGGGGTTTAGGGTCAATCAAAGAGAAAACCAGTAGATGCAACAACAGGGAATGAGGCATACGAAGGCAGTCGTGGGGGAGCTGGCGGCGCAGGGTGGAAGGAAATCAGGAATCAGCGAGGCATCGATGAGCAATGCCACTACAGTTTCTGCTTCATCCATGGTCTCGTCTCGAGCTCAGCCTCGTGAGTGTTGGTTCATTCGACCACAGAAAAGGATTAAATGAACCAGTCAATAAGTGAATCGAATCAAGGGCAAAATCTTCCTAGAAAATATGACGCATGGGTCCATACGTGGAAAAGGAGAAAAACATAAATTTGTGTCATTTCATCTGGCTATCCATCAAACGTGTGTATTCTAATGAAATCAAAAGAAAGGTGTGCCAATAGATCAAAGCCCCAGGAAAGGCGTGTCATTTTATCAAATTGCCTGTCCCAATACAAGAAGCTTGCTAAAATGAAAAGGCTTTTTCAAGGATAGGTACAATTGTCCATTATGCATCTATTATGGGATTGTGATTTTTCCTTGAGCTGCTCGGACACCCTCATCCCTGGAAAGAGGAGGAAACTTCTGTTTATAAACATACCATGTTTGCTTTGGATGCTCTACCTTTTGCTACCTGTATGGGGATTGCTATTTTGGCTGTTAAACCTTGGGATTCAGATAAATTGAAACAATTCCAGGCGCACCAATCAATCCATTCAAGCCTGGAGACATGCTATTAAGGTGGGTTAGGATATCCTTGCTCATAGAATTCAGAACAAACATGTGGTTTGCTTCCATGAGTGCCTTTATGTAAACTTGTAATATGTTTTGCATGTTTCCTAGAGCTTGTATTGGTTGAGTCTAGAGTGTTTGCTCAACCTTGGATAGGTTTTCTTATTTTTGCTCGCCTTTTTCGTACCATACTCATATACCTTGTTTGTAATGAAAATATACATCGTCAAAAATTGTTTCACGATTCAATGTTAAAAAATTCATGAAGTGGCCAATTTTGTCCTATAATTGCCATGCCTCAAGCTCCAATGGGGGCAGATGTATTTCTAGTGGATTTGTTCAAATTGATAGTGAGAAAACAAATGACCCTTGGTCTCTAGTGTGCGTTGTCCACATATGACAAAGTTTTAGCCAGGGATGAAGGTTTGTTCTCTTTAGTATAATCTCTAGTGTTGAGTCTATTGTGCCACAAAAAACTTTATTATTACTCTGACAACATGTTTTCCAAAATCCTTTACATTGTTGGCATAGTGGGTGTTCTCCAATCTATAAACTATATACTTGCGATACACTAAAACGTAACTGCGAGCCACGGAAGCGACATACATCTGGCTTCAGAAGGGGAGAACCCATCTCTCAAGTCATGCATAAGGTTGGATTGAAAAAAAGCTTCCTCTGAGAGGGTAAATGGAAATTGCCATGGAGATCCTGGGAAGAGAGCATGGCTCTTACTAACTAGTGATTGTCCAAAGAAAAAGAGTAAAAGTGGCTAAGCCTGGCTAAAAATATCCACTATCCAGTGCTCATGCGTAGCATCCATAGAGTTGGCAGAGTTAGTACCATCTGTCTTATAGATATTTAGGAGATTTACCAATCTTTGCCCCAAAAAGAGTAATCGGGCACAAGTGATCGGGGCATGTCAAGCTAATAGTGGAATTCTCAACTAATTTAATCCAAGGGATGCCATATTTGTTCACTTTGAGGCAAACATGATGTATTCGAACGAGGGGAACTTATACACCGGGTTCGTAGATTTTTCTTCGTCGGATGACGAAGATGAGATGAAACAACAGCAGTAAGGAGGATTCTTGAGGAAACAAAGCACGGAGGAACATGTTCTCTACTTCACGGGGTCCAATAAAGGCACATCGAATGTTGAATTGACATCCGACACGAGGCATAATGACCTCTACGAGGACTACTTTGCTCCGAACGGCGACCATTGTTCTTGCGCATCGTGGAAGTTGACAGGGCCTATGATGTTTACTTTAAGCTGAACAAGGATATCATTAGCCGCATTGGGTTCCATGATCTCCATAAGTGCATGACTGCTATAAGGATGCTTGCGCATGGCACAGCTGCAGTTCAGTGGGATGACTACCTCCGGATGTCTGAGAGCACATGCTTGGATGTCATGTTTAGATTTGCTGCTGCAACGGTCAAGGTGTTTGGACCGGAGTACTTCTTTTGTGTGATGTGGACCAAGTACTTGAGATAACCAAATGTCAAAGAAACAACAAGGTTGATGGCACTTAGAGAATCAAGCCAATTTCCAGGTATGCTTGGATCCCTGGATTGCATGCACTAGAAATGAAAGAACTTTCTGCTCAACAAGTGTAGTACAAGGGTCATCATATAAAGTCCACCATCATTCTTGAACCAGTTCTCTAGGGTCTGGATTTTTCAACGGATGGATGAACATGTCTGGCTTGCAGCGTAGAATGGCGGCGTTTGAGCAATTTCTCCAAATGCATCTTCAGATTTGCAGGAAAAAAAGGGAGGGCATGGTTGATCATATTGAGTTATTGATGCATTGTGGCATTTATCTTCAATTATATTTAATATCTAGAGTATAAGAAAAGGGAGGGCATGGTTTGATGTCCGCCCCTGACCTGATGTCTGCGAACACGCCTGTGCCTGTCGACGGAAAATTTGGGAGCGTCCGTTTGATCATCCACGTTGGAGATGTCCTAATAGCTCCAAATCCTCATAGTGGAAGTATCTAAATTGCCACCATGGTATTACCAGATAAGTGGGTCTTTCATTTGGCAACATGGTCTGCACCTAATCCTGCCTTTTTGATGGCCTGGTAGCCCTAATCCTCATGCCCCAATCCTCATGGTGGAAGCATCAAAAATTCCCCCCAGCGCGGTAGCACATATATACATGGGCCTTCATTTGGCAACATGATCTGCACCATATCAAGAAGAGGCTGGACATGCATTGTGCACGTACGGCAGTGTGTGAGACAGCTCAATCGATCTGATGAAAGTTTCAACACAAGGTTTTCGTGTGTGCGTATTTTTGAAGTCTGGAGTTTTTGTTTGCTTTTGGGCGTGGTTTAGGTCTGGAGGTGGTAGTTTGTAAAAAAAATCAAATGGTTTTTTTATACGAAATCAAAGTGGGAGGCCTTTGCTAATAGAAAAAACAAGTTTTTTTTGCAGGATTTTTGCCGTCGATTGTCATCGTCATCTTATTCCAACACACGATGGAGTACTTGCGTACCGTATGCATGGTGTGGACGCACGCACTGAGCTGCACTCGGCTATAGTGCCCAATTTTTTCAAATGGTAGGCTAACAGTAGTGATAACAGATGTGTCCCTCTGGTGTGATAGTCCTCTCGATCGTCCCGTTGAAAGCAACAGACTTACTAGCTTGTAGAGTATGTCATGTTTTCTGCTGCAATGTGTACTGATTTATTTGTGGGTACTCCCTCCGATTCAACTAAAGTTGTACTAGAGCTGCAACAATTAGTTTGGATCGAGGGAATTCTTTTACGTGATTTTGGTTAAAAAGTTTAAAGCAAGTGAAGATGGAGCGAGCAAACAGAGGAGAAGGTAGGAAATTAAAGTCATTTTATTCAGCACATCGATCACCCAACATTTTATTGCAGCATCAGGAACAGCATGCGTGCATGGACGCATCACGCACTCAGCTAGGCTAAGCTATAGTCTCTCGTCTCTCATGGACGGAGGTGGCCTACCTATAGCTGAGCCATACGCGCTAGGCGAGCTGGCGCCTAGCTGCAGTGCGGGACGGCGAGGCCGCAGGAGACGAGGGTCTCGCGCGCGTGGGGGCTCCTGATGTAGGCGCCGAGGGAGGGGTCCTTGGCGTACTGGCAGAAGCACGCCTGCTGCGCGCGGAGGCTGCCGCAGCACGCCTCACTTGGCTTGGCGCCGGTGGTGATCGCCGGCATGCACACCGTCAGCTGCCCCACCTCGCACGCCGCATGCGCCCCGCCCGGCGCCGCCACCACCAGCGCCAGCATCATGGCCGCCAGGAGGACCTCCTTCCTCATCGCCATGGCCGTCGTCCTTGGTCTACTCCTCACTCTCGCAGTGTCAGGTGTTGAGTGTGATGGAGTGGTGCAATGGTGGTGTGGACATGGATCTAGGGACTCCCGGCCGGGGTATTTATAGGCGGCCACGCACCGTCCGAGACTCCGAGCTCGACGGCTGGCAACCTAGCTAATTAACAACCCACCTGCCGCGAGCCGGCTAGTTACTGAACTGCATGCAGTAGCAGTTCGCCATGACTAGGGTCAGCAAAAAGGTTGATGCATGCATGCATGGCTACACTTATGAAGTAGTATGGACGTACCTAGTGCATTCAAATCCAGTCGGTAGAGGTCAGCCGAGTAGTTCGTCCATGTTGGCTGCCCGCTCGGTGCTGCCAAGGATTTGAAAATCGGAAAAAATATCGTGAATTTGAAAAAGGTTCATGATTTTCAAAAAAGATGTGAATTTAAAAAAATCATGGTTTTGGCAAAAAATTCAAATAATTGAAAAAAATCATGAGGCTTAAAATGGAACAAAAGGAAAAAAGAAACAAAAATTAAAAAGGTTAAGATAAAGAAAAACAAACAGAAAGAAAAACAAAAAACAAAGTTGGAAATTTCACACTATCGGACAAGGAAATCCAGCAGTTGAAGTTTGCAAAGTAGAAGAAAGGTTAATGGTTTAGCACGTAGTCTTGCACAATTTGGACGTAGAGAGTTGTGTGGTGGATTTATGCAAGGTATAGTGCCAACCTGCGCCTTGAGCGTGGCCTTGCGAGATTGTAAGAACAATGTTTTTTCTTTTAGTTAATATAACTCTGTATTTTTAAAAAGCTCGACATAAATCAAAAAAGTCGATGAAAACATGACCAAAGAAAATCCAGCCCAAAAAACCAAAGGGAACCTTCTACAAGGTTCACAAAACCAGTGGGGGGAAGATAACATCGGTCGACTCCCAACTTAGTGCATAGCTAGGGGGTAGTGGGTGCCCTGTAGAAATTTGCCTAGACGCGTCAAATAGGATTTCGGAGGGGGAGGGGGAGGATTAATGGGACACATGCTTTGTAGATTCAAGGTCGAACCCATACAAGATTTTGCGCAAGTCCAAGATTTTTACGAATCCAAGTGTCGATTCCCCACTTTCGCCATTTTGTCATTAATTTTGGAAGCTGCTTATTTCAATGTGTGAAATTGATATTTTTCAACTTGTAAAAATGAATTTTTTTTCTTCAAATGTGTGAAATATGTTGTTTCACATTGTGAAATATATTTGTTTTACCCTATGAAATTGATTTTCTTCAAATATGTGAAACGGGGTTCTTTGTTGAAGTGAAACTAAAATTTTCGGTGAGTGAAACTGATTTAGAATTTTTCAAGCTGCTTCTTTTCAGTGTGTGAAATTAATATTTTGAATCCGCGACACGGATTTTCTGTTTCAATGCTTGAAACATATTTTTAACATAAGCAACTGATTTTCTCTAAATCTTATATACAGTTTATTTCAAAAATGTGAAACTCATTTTTTTGGCTAGTGAAAGTGATTTACAATTTGGGAAGCTGCTTACTTTAGTCTGTGATACTTATATTTATAATCCCTGGAACATTTTTTTTGTTGAATATGTGAGATAGGTTGTTTCAATACGTGAATTTATTTGTCAATGTGTTAAAGTGAATTTTCTACAAATGTGATGCTGAATTTTACAACCAGTGAAACTGATTTACATTTATTAAACTGCTTATTTGAGTTTTTGAAACTGATATTTTAAGTATATGAAACATATAATTTGTTTATGAAATTTATTAATATTTTCTGAAGTTTCTTATTTCAGTGTGTAAACTTATATTTTTAATATATGAACATATTTTTCTGTTTGAAACTCATTCATATTATCCAAAACTGTTTATTTCAGTGTTTGGATCCAATAATTCTTAATCTACTAAATGATTTTTTTAAATATGTGAAAATGATTTCTAATACAATTGAAATAGTAATTTTTTTAACTGATTTCAAATACGATACCACCACTAAAATAAAAATGGGTTCATGTTTATATCCACGGTTGGTCTTGTTTCGGAGATCTTCTCGCTCTGAATTAAAATATTACTAAAGAAATAAAAAGGCATTCGTTTGATTTAGAAAAGATTTATAATAAATTCTCTTACAATTAATAAAATAAAACTATTTTGAACAGGATATAGAGAAAGAATACATGCGATCATTCCCCTCCCCGTTGTTTCTTGAAAAAGAGTTATGGTGCATGCAGAGGGC